CCCATAATGAAATTGCTCATTAGTTGAAGGACGCTCAGGACTTGCACTTGCAAAGAATTCAAAATAGAATATGGAAACTGGCTCTAATGGAAAAACTGACATTGCATTAAACTCTGTCATGACCCAGCCCCCTTGTGGGGAGCGCTTGGTCGGCAGATAGAGAGCAATGAGGGCGTCTGAATCTCCTTTACAGCTGGGTAGAGTTCAAATGACCTCAGCCAGGAAGAATTACAGATCCCTTCTCACAAGTCTATCCTAAAAGATACTTGCTTGCACTTAACTAAGTTCAGCTAGAACACACATATGAGCTTTGTAGTCGCCAGATCTATCAAAGCTCAGGCAGATAGCATTCTGTGGCCTCACAATCTCTCTGGAAGTAGGCTCAGCAGACTTGCTGTTCAAAAGACTATTCTTAAGGATTTTAAGAATAATTTTTTTATTAAAAAAAGTCTGTATAGATATTTAGTTTATTGCATAAGCAAAGTATAAGTTACATTTCCATAGAATATTGCAGAGAAATCTAGGCATCATTCACTAAACAAAAATATAACTAAAAATACTAAAAAGCTATTTTAAGGGAAGGCATAGGGTATGCCCACCCCTTCTTTCTGAGGTTCTAGATTCCAATTCCCTTCATTCTAACATAAGGAAAAAAGACTCAAAATGACTCCTAAGCCTCTCTATAGACTAAGGAACAGACCACATGGCACAAAGTCCATTTTTCTACTCTTCTGGCACCACCCTTCCTCTTCGTCTCTCAAGGTGTTGGCCAATAGGCGATTAGGAAAGTCCGTTCTCATCCTGCCTTCTGTTCCCAGGAGAAATTCAGGTGTTGTTTTCCTTCTCCTCATCTCAGTCCGGATCTAGACTACATGTTGTGTCTTCATGCCTTACCATCTCCTGACATGACTGGATATAAGGAACTTTCCCATCAACTCATGAAGAAAAACATTCCCATCATACAAAATCATCCTTACACAGAACCAGTATGGATCCATTTTATATTTCTTCACGACTACATAACCCATCTTCATACATGCTTTTAACCCACATAATCTTGACACCCACATTGGTCAACTAGCCTGTGTTCTACTCAACATATGCACATTTATATACAGCCAATCAATGTGGACATTACATCATCCCGGACTGCATGATTCAGCATTTTGCACACCTGTCAAGTATAGCTGCTGATTACCATAGGCCTTGTTCTGCTTCATTGTGGAAATTATCCTTGACATTAATAAAGATATTGAAGAGCACCAGACCCAGGACTGAACCTTGGGATGCCCACAGAGAAGGACCCCTTAATCATCACCCTCTGAGTACAATTCTGTAGCCAATTGTGTATCCACCTGACACTTGATCTATCCAGCCCACACCTAGTTAGCTTGCTAATCAGGATATCATGGGGCACTTTGTCAAAAACTTTGCTGAAGTCAAGATATACTATGTCTACAGCAATCCTTCTGTCTATCAGGGAGGTGACCTGATCAAAAACCGAGATCAAGTTAGTTTGGCAGGATTTGTTCCTCAGAAATTCGTGTTGGCTTTTAGTTATCACTGCATTTTTTTCTAGGTGCTTGCACAATGACCGCTTTATGATCTGCTCCAGAATTTTTCCTGGGATTGATGTCAGGCTGACTGGTCTGTAGTTCCTAGGTTCCTCTTTTTTGCCCTTTTCGAAGATAGAGACATTAGCCCTCCTCCAATCCTCTGGCACCTCTCCCGTATCCCATGATTTCAAGAAAATAATGGATAGTGGTTCTGAGAGTTCTTCAGTCAGTTCCTTCAGTACTCTCTGATGTAGTTCATCCGGTCCTAGGGATTTGAACTCATTCAAGATGGCAAGGTATTCCTTGACCATTTGTTTATCTTCAGCTGTGATCCTGTCTCCCCCCCCCCCACTTGCACTTCCAATTTGTTTGGAAGTTCATAGTCTGTCTTATGGGAAAAGACTAAACTAAAATAGGAATTGAGCACCTCTGCCTTTTCTTTGTCCTTCGTTATCATTTTCCATCACTATTGCGGAGATGCTACTATGTCTTTTGTTTGTCTTTTGCTACTGAAGAATGCTTTTTATTGCTTTTAGTGCCTCTAGCTTCTCAGCTTTTGCCCTCCTAATGCCATCCCTGCATTTCCTTGCTACTTGTCTGTACTCATCCTTTGTGGCCTGGCCTTCTTTCCACTTCCTGTACATATCTTTTTTGGTTTTTAGGTCCTCCCATGATGAGCTCATACCATCAGTTTATTTGGGAAAAGTTTCAAACTATTATGGCTTCCCTACCACTTGAAAAAAAATCACTGGCTCTCTCCTTCCAAAAAGATGCCCATTCCCTTGCTGGACAGCAAATCTACTCTGTTCACCATGTAGCCAACTGCGCAGCCAAAAGCATGGCTGCAAGCATCAGCCTGCACCAGCATGCCTGGTTACATTTTGCTGGCTTCTCACAGGACTCAAAATCCTACATCAAGGACCTTCCCTTCGATGGGGAAAGTCTTTTCAATACTAAAACAGATTATTTCATGTAAGACCTCCATAAAAAATAAAACTTATGAGAAAAAGAAGGGCATCAGCACTTACCAACCACCTCCTCAGCAATTCCATCCTTCATGGAAATACACTTTACCATATAACAGGCACAAATCACCCTCTGATCATTCAAAGACATCTGAATGATCCTTCCAACATCATGTTCATTCCAACACACTTTCTGCCAGGTATAAACCACCAGCCTTCCCAAAGAAGGCAGGCATAAAACCCAAACAGCAGTTTTGACTTTCCTCAGCCTGAACTTATTCCAGTATCACCTATCTGGCTGGCGCCTTTCATCACCACTTGGCAATTCATCACTTCACATACTTGGGTTTTAAACATCATTGCCCTGGGGAGGTACACCATAGAATTTTCTATCCTACCTCCCAGTGGTCACATTCACCTCAACTCTCCATCACCCATCTTTCAAGATGAGACTTGCACCTTACTTCAGAAGGGTGCCATATCAAGTCTGACCTCTCATCCTTGCCCTAGGGCATTCTTCTTCCATTACACCACAATACCCAAAGGGGATGGGAGACTTTGCCCAATACTAGATCTCCACGCCCTCAACAAGCACATTGAACCAACACCTTTCAGAATGGTAATGCTCCAGTCCATCCTACCTGTCCTTCATCAAGAAGATTGGTTTGCCTCTATACAGTATATCACAGAAATGAGTACACCCCCCTCACATTTCATAAATATTTTAGTATATCTTTTCATGTGACAACACTAAAGAAATGACATTTGGCTACAATGTAAAGCAGTGGGCATACAGCTTGTATAACAGTGTAAATGTGCTGCCCCCTCAAAATAACGCAACACACAGCCATTAATGTCTGAACCACTGGCATCTTGTAGATGGCTTATGTCAGTGGGCTCTCATATCCACTATTCCAATTCTGTTATCTGTTGTACAGCTTTGTAATACATTAGCCACATTTATTATCCATGCAGCAAGGGGAGAGGATAGGTATGCTGTACAACTTCTTTCCTATTTGAAGTATAGTGTTGGAAGGAAGCAGCACATTTCTCACTGGTTTTAATGTAGAGTCCAATAGTGCAGCTAATGCTAATGTAACCAGGATGATTACTTCAAAGCACTAAATTGTCACCCCCCTTTTATAATAACCAGGTATCCTGCAACACACACCCCATGGCCATATTTCCATAAAAAGGCATTTTTAATGGGGCAAAGTCAGGCTTCTTTCTCCCCTCAAGGTTCTGTTTTTCATACATACACATACAAGCTAACTTTAATATGCCACTCCAAAAGATCAAGGAAGAAACAAAGGCTACAACATATAAAAGGTGACCCATAACCCCACAGAAAACGCTTTGCAATCCCCTGAAGGGTCACAAACCCTAGGTTGGGAAACACTGGACTAACTGCTGTATTTTTTGTGTATTTTATTAAACTAAGTATAGATGTGCCTTTTTTACCAGGACCGATATATACAAATTCTTGACAAAAACCATTGCTTATTGTGGGATATAAATAAATAAATTATTGTGGTCCACTTCCTTCCTCTCCCTTTCAGTTATTTACCTGATCACATCTGGTTTCTGCTGTTGTCCCTTTGTGTGGCAGCAGCACAAAGGAAAAACAACGTAATTATCCATAATTTCTTAGTTCTAATAAAGTTCCTTTTCTCTTGTTTTCATTGAACTTGGAAGGTTCCGAAGGGCAAACCTATCTCACTCACTTGTACTTCTAGGTTAGTGTGTGTATTTAAATGATACACAAATAAGAAACAAACAAGTTTGACCAATTTTTGTAAGACTGGCCACAGATTCTACACTGATGAAATAGTGCATACTCTCAGAAACATTCTTGGTTTTCATAAACAAAGTGAATTTGCATTCTCATGATGTAAAATTCTAAATGTCAGAATTTTTTCATCTTCCTAAGTGTCTATGAAAGTTCTTAACTGAGCCTGTTCACTTGAAAAAGTAAACTGTAGTTAGTGAATTACCATGAACTACAGTTGAAAGTTTTTGTCTTTAAGATACTGTAAAAGGTACAGTCATCTTAAGAAAGTGATGAATCAATCAATCAATGGAGTATTTTATAGGTCTTTTTCTCCTCCTTTTTTCCTTCTACTGATAATAGTCCAAATTCTATAAGATCCTTACATTTGAGCAACACTTAGTTGCAGGAGTGGTTGACCTTGGTATTTGTGCAAGGAAGCATCTCATATGTCTGCACAAAACATTCTCGGGTTGGCAGCTGCAAGTTCACACACCTCAAGCCAGAATGGCCACAGATCGATGTGGGGAGATGTATACCAGTTTTTCAGTTGGCTGTTCAACTGCCAGAACAGCTATTATAGCCTCTGTGATTGTTAGGCATCAATGTAGATACCTTGGTGGAGCAGGATATGGGCTGCAGTGCATATGCTTTACATTTTTAACTGGTGATTTTCCTGTAACAAGTAATTTTTTAAAAATGTCTTTACAGGCACATATCCCATTTTATGCATAACATACCTTTCCCTTCTCCTCAAAGACCAAGGATCCTTGTACAGGTAAGTTAAATGTTTGATGCAGTCTTTCTCTTCAAGTAATGATTTCTCATAGCTTTCCCATCCCTTTCTAAGACAGAGTGTGGGAAATTACATTTAAAAAGAAATTAGTTGCAGTTATTGTTCCAAGGTTGCAAAATATAATTGGTTAGCATTATAGTTGCAATTTTGAAAAAGTAACTAGTTGCTTTCTTATTTCTTACAAGTAACTAAAACAGGTACTATTTTGTTAGCTCTTGTAAATCTTTGAGCCAAGAATTTGGAAAGTCTGAATATTAAAAACTGCTGGCATGTGGTGTAAATTACATTCTCCTTCTGGCCACCTTGTGTTCACCTTGGCATGTATAGCAAAGAATGGGGCACAACATAAGCCAACTCTTGAATTATATGACATTTCTCCTCCACCCCTGTATGAGGCCACGGCAAGTAAAAAAGTACTGTTTGAATGCAGATAAAGATTTTTACTTTAAAAGTTGAATAAAAATATAATCTAGTTGTAGGATAAAATGAACTAATTGCAAGTTATGTATAATTGATTACTTCCACATTTTGTGCTAAGCACTCTCTCTCTCTCTCTCTCTCTCTCTCTCTCTCTCTCACACACACACACACACACACACACACACACACACACACAAACACACAAACTATCATGGCTCCATGTGGTAGAATCGTGACATAGTTTGGTGAGGTACTTGGAATTCTCTGTTGTAAATTCAAGTGCCCACCTCTGAACTACAGCAGAGGATTCTAACTTCCTCACCAAACTACAAATCCCAGGATTCCTCGGGAGAGAGAAATAAGCAGTTAAAATAGTATCAAATTGCTGTAACTATGTTCTGTAGATATACTCTATATGTGCAATATTAGAGTGGAATATTTTAACAAAGGAGTGATTTAGTACTGCTTAGAAGAGGGCTTGTGTAATGTAATTTCAGTGTGGTCACGTATTGTAATGAACAGCCCTGCCCTCACCTGTCCGTCACAGCTGAACAGTGGAGAAGGAGCCAATGAATGGACGGAAGGCGGTGCCAAGGGGGGAGGGGGCTGGATATACAGGCTGGTGTATGGAGTATGAGAGAGATTCTGTGAGTGAGAGACAGTGTGAAACTTAAAAGTGAACTTAGAGTGAGTTAGAGATCTGTAAGAACGCTGAATGGAGCAGAGGGTTAATAGAGTTTTAAAGTTAAAGTGGAGTTGACTTAAATACAAGTGATTAGCAACCTGTGATTTACTTATCGAATATTAATCAGATGTTAACTTCCCTGATCTAATAAATGAGTTAAGTTTTAAAAGCACACTTGTCTCCTTGATTGAATGGTATTGAAGCAGCAATACCTGGTGGCAGCAAAGAAAGAAGAGCGAGAACCTCATGAAGACCTGAGGGAATAGGGGCTTCAGAGATCGCCACACGTGTATCTCTGGGAGATGCAAATCTCATTATTTTCAGTGAGGCTTACTCCCTGATGAATGTCTGTTGGATTGCAGTGTAAGTCTGATCTATGAACCACAAATCCCTTTCCTTAGTCTTATTTTCCCATGAACTGGTCTTAAGCAGCTACTGCCATCATCAGCCCTCCCCATCCCACCCCGCAGCAAGTATCATGGAAGTAATGCTGACCTGCTGTATAAGAAAATTGTAAAGATTTTTAAAATGTATCCAAAATAGTTTGAGCACTGTATAAATGCTGTTTATGATTGCTTTGTTCATCGGCCTCTTCTATGCAGTCACTTTTTGTTTCCTGATCATAAAGTACCACATGATATTTTGGTGCCTGACATATGGTTAATCAGAATGTTTAAATGGCTTTAGATTGTTTCTCCAAGTTGCTAGATAATTAATACTTGTGTTTTGCTATCTTCCAGCTTTCTGCACATGATGCATTAATGCTGTCTCAACCAGTTGCTACCCCCTTGCCACTCAGGTAATGGTGATCAATACTCCAGTATTTTAAGAATGAGAGCTGAGCAAAAGTTTATTGTATATACATTGTATCTTCAAATTACTGAATATTAATGAATAATATGCTACTAATTAGTTTAAAGTCTTACAACCCTGTTTCCCCAAAAATAAGATCTAACCTGAAAATAAACCCTAGTACGATTTTTCAGGATACTCATAATATAAGCCCTACCCCAAAAATAAGCCCCAGTTAAGTGAAACCCCACCCTCCACCATTGTGTAGTAACCAGAAGATGACTGTATTTGAATAAATGTAGATCGCTATACATGAAAAAAATAAAACATCCCCTGAAAATAAACCCTAATGCGTTTTTTGGAGCAAAAATTAATATAAGACCCTGTCTTCTTTTCGGGGAAACATGGTAGTTCATCTGCAGCTTACTCATAGCTGATACCAAGGACAGCAGTCTCAGATTCTTCATCTGTCTGAAATTTTCATCATTATTAGGATGTTTTTCTGAGTACATATATTGCTAACACACTTGACTTTAACATAGTAGAAAAAATTAAACATCAACGTTCCCTCTAATTTTCATCCCTGTTGGACAGGAACCTCTCCTGTCTGTGCGAGGAGGCTGGGGTTTCATCCAAAACAGGCATCAAAACCAGATGCCTCTGCACAGCATTAATGGAGCTCTGCACACATCCGTGTGCACCTTAGAGGGAACATTGCTAAAAAAGAATTATAGGTAGACCAGAAAGTATTTTGCTTGCTTCATGGTAGGACATGACAAATTCAATATATAGAATAATTAAAGATAAGATACTCATGTCTCTTAATGTAAAATTAATCCTATGTTCTGCTGTTTTGCAGAGCATAGGATTCTCAAACATTAAGACTGAATTCATTGATGGAAGTGACAATGCAAAGGGGATTTCTCTTTTTCTTTGATCACAGACTCATTGCATCAGAGACAGTTTAAGCCCACCTTATGCAGTCCATATTTCAAGATCTCATTGTGCATATAAAAATAGTGTGCACAGCAGAATTTAGCAAGTCTTTTGGGAGTGGGAATAGCTGAAACAGAGCTGAATAAGTATGCTTATTATTGTAGGATGCAACTCTGACTTAATAACGAGAAACTCACAGTGTATCAGGAATAGGATGTGATTTCCATTGTCTCTATCATGTTCTTCATTGTTAACTGTAGCAATTATGAATGATGCACATGTTGCAGTTCTGAGCCTCCTAGTTTTATTTTCAGTGGAGCAAACTTCAGCACCTTGCTAATGAACCTTGGACCAGAAAACTCTGCTACTTTACTCCTCTTTGTGCTGTTGGAAGGCAAAATTCTGCTCCACTCTCTCCGACCAGCAGTGCTGACTGGAGTAGCTGAAGCCGTGGCAGCTGTAAGTAAACTGTGTTCTCTTCTAAGGTGCATCTGTTATATTTGCAGAGTCTGAAATGACCTTTGGACTTGTGCCTGTGCAGAGTGATCTCGGAACCTTCTAGAGCTCAGGCGCATGGTGCTGGGACCTCCCCCCACTCTGACTATAACCCTGCCCTGGCACCGAGTGCCTCAGTTCCGTTTCTGCCGCCGCAGTTGCAGCATTGTGGAGCCTTCGCATAGCATTTTTTCTTCCTATTCTTCCTTCTACTGCTCGAATTCCCAGGTTTTGTTACGACTTCATACTGTTGACGATTCTTTGGTTTCATGAGTTCGCTAAAAAGCATATAACTGGTTTATCTTTGCCAATCCCGAGAGCCACTCATGGAGCCACTGTAGTCTGCACCGACCGACACATCGTCAGCTGCAGCCTCATTGCCCAAACGGGCTAAAAATTTGACAAAAACGTCTTCTTTGAGCTCGAAGTTGATGACCTCGGCTTTGATGCCAAAAAAACCACAACTTTTTTCTTTTGACAACTCGTGTTGTCTGCTGCTTTGCCATCTCCGCTGCCTCAACCCCGAAGAGACTCTTTGGGCCCAAATGTGCCATCTGGACATGAGGCTGTCTCGGGCTTCAGGCTGCCAGTCGCACCATCTCTGCACTTGTCCCTTTCCCCAGATTGGATGGACACCTCTGTGGAGGTTCACTTGGTGGCACAAATTAGCCCTGGTTCTATACTGGGCTCGATGTAGAGGCATGTGTCTCCATCTCCACCTGCATCTCTGGTCGAGATGCCTAAGAAAAAGAGACGAAGGACGAAGCATCTGGAGCCAGCACCTGAGGCTGAAAGATATCATCGCCGGCGCCTCTGGCTGGAGGGTGCCACCTCCCCATCAAGACTATTCCGGATCTCGCTGGAATGATTATGAAACTTGCCTCGAGCCCGACGACTTCAGATTCGGCCGGTGCTGATACCGGGCCTTATGACCCTGACTTCTACACATTTTGTCAGTGGTCCCGATATTACAGCTCCTATGCTGCTCCCCCGTTGCCTCCTCAATATCAATAGCACCCAGGCACCTATTTCTACCTGGAGAGCAGGCCTGAATGTGACCCTTTGCTGCCAGCTCGCACGCATGCAGTAGACGAGCCCTTGCCTCCAGTCCCAATGACTCGCTCGGTACCGGTGGCTATACAGAGTGCTCCTGCAGGCCTGATTCCAGCTGCCATTTCACCTGGGATCGAAGACAGCATTATGACTGAATGGTCTGCTCGGTCAGATGTTTCCCGTCAAGACCCTTGGCCCCGAGAGTTTACTCCATCTCCAGGCCAAGAAGAGGCTTATACTTCTGATTCTTAAGCTTCAGTTGAGGACTTAGATAAAGATTCTCCTCCAAACCTTCCCACTCCAGACTCTGAGGTAGCGGGTAGCTACCCACCTTCTCCCTCAGAAGATTACACAGCTTACTCGCACCTGATACGCAGGATAGCGAAAGCAGTGGATCAACCGGTTATAGAAGAGGTGGACAAAGTGTATGAGGACATTACAAAAGATCAGTCCCCTCCGCTTCGCAGAGGATCCAGAGGATCTTACTGCAGCCACCCTTACCTGTCATCAGGAAGCCATGTCCCTAGCTTGGCAGGAAAGGATTGCTGCACGACATATAGTGGATGCCGCATCTAAGCAACTTACATCATCTGTTTCTCTTCGACATCATGCCTGGTTGAGATCTAATATCTCTGAAAATGCTCATGCCAGGATTGAGGAACTCCCATTCAGTTAGGGTTGCCAGATACATGTGTCTGAAAAGGAGGACATAAAAAGCCAAAAAGGAGGACAAAGGAGGACATATTGGGGGGGCTCTGTGCAAGGGGTGCGGGGCATGTCACTTTTGGAATTAGGTATTGGGAAGAATAGCTCTTTGATCGGGGGGCAGTACCATAACCATTCAACCTACTCAGTCTTGAAAGATTAAGACTGGGAAAGTTACATTTTTGGACTACAAAACTCAGAAACCACTGGCCACTGTGTTTTCTTGTTTTAAAAATGTTTAAAAAATTTAAACAAAACAAATCTACATATACACTTACTGGGCTCCCAGGACCAATGGAGACAATCTATTCCTTCCTTTAATGGCGACCCATCCCCCTTGTTTTATTTATTGATTTTTTTATTTTAATAAAAGCATAATAAAGTGAAATGAAAAGTTTAAAAAGTTGTGTGACAGATTTGAAACACTTTATAAAAACCAGAAGAAAAAAAAAGGAGTGGATTTCTCTCAGCTTGAAAAATTGCAAAGGGTGGACAATATGGCTTTGTGTGTGTGTGTGTGCGCGCGCGCGCGCGTGCACACACACACACACACACACACACACACACACACACACACACACACACACACACACACACACACACACACACACACACACACACACACACAAAGCCATATTGTCCACCCTTTGCAATTTTTCAAGCTGAGAGAAATCTGCTTGTATGTGTGTGTGTGTTCCAGCTCCCACAAGCATGGGGGATAACTGTGCATATGCTCCTGGACCTGGAAATGCACTCTGCACGTGCCCCAGAGTCAGGGGTCAGGGCAGAAGGGGGGAATAAAATTTCCTCCTGTTCCCCGGCTTTAGGAGGAAGAAGGGTCAGTGCCCATTTCCCTGGCTTTGAATGGCCACCCCGCCAAACCCCAGAACAGTCTCCCCTCCAGCAGACAAGCAAGTGCACTCACTTCACTCCAGTCTATTTCCATCCATCTCTCTCACACCTTCCTGCCTTATTCAGCTCCCAGGCATCCACAAGCCAGGGATTGATTGCTTGGGGCTGGAACAGCCCTAAACAATCAAGCTACCCGACCGCCAAAGACTACAAAATGCATATCCATCAGGTCCATATCGTCAGCAGACTTGCAGGCAAGGCCTCACCAACAAGCACACTGTTTGGAACATAGACCTAAGCAGACCCTTTAACTCTTTAGGCCCACCAGCAACACCTCACTTTTCAGTGCATTTCGCACCCTTCCTCTCTACCTGGGAATCCATCACTTCTGATGCCTGGGTTTTGGCCATTTTGTGTAGGCATCCTTCAGTCTCGAGAGACTATGGTAACATGCTATGTATGGAGGACTTGGAACACCATCTAGTGTGGCTGAGAAGGGCAATTTGAGAGTGACAATCCCTTCCACACGGAAGACAGATACAGTCTGTCCCCTGTCCAGCTCCCTGATTTTGCTGATTTCGGGACTGCTTCTATGCCTCGGCCTGCTGGATAAGGGTCTCTATAAATTGGAAGAGGCCATGTTGTCCCGCCTGCCTCCTGGCTGAACACTAAGATGTCATCTGTTGAGGTCCATTCCTAAGGCCTTCAGATCCTGCTTGCAGATATCCTTGTATCGCAGCTGTGGTCTCCCTCTGGGGCGTTTTCCCTCAACTAATTCTCCATACAGGAGATCTTTTGGAATCTGACCATCAGCCATTCTCACGACATGCCTGATCCAACATAGACGTCACTGTTTCAGTAATGTATACATGCTAAAAAAATCGAGGTCATTCTAGGACTACTCTATTTGGATCTTTGTCCTGCCAGGTGATACCAAAAATGCGTTGGAGACAACGTATATGGAACATGTTCAGCTTCCTATCCTGCTGTGCACAAAGGATCCAGGACTCACTTAGGTACAGGAGTGTACTCAGGACACAGGCTCTATAGACCTGGATCTTGTTATATGCCGTTAGCTTCTTATTAAGCCATACTCTCTTTGTGAGTCTAGAGAACATGGTAGCTGTTTTGCCAGTGCATTTATCCAGCTCGACATCTGGGAGAGAGTGTCAGAGATCGTTGAGCCAAGGTAGACAAATTCATGAACAACCTCCAAATCTTGAGTGGAGACGGTAATAGAGGGAGATGAATCCATGCCCTGGTCCATGACTTGTGCTTTCTTCAAGCTGATTGTTAGTCCAAAGTCTTGGCAGGCCTTGCTAAAACGATTCATGTATTGTTGGATTTCTTCAGCAGAGTGAGCAACAATGGCTGCATCATTGGCGAACAGGAAGTCCTGCATGCATTTCAGTTGGACTTTGGTCTTCACTCTCAATCTAGAGAGATTAAAGAGCTTTCCATCTGATCTAGTCCAGAGATAGACACCTTCTGTTGCAGTTCCAAAGGCGTGCTTCAGCATGACAGCAAAAAAGATCTCCAAATAGGGTCGGTGCAGAGACATAGCCCTGTTTCACTCCACTTCGGATGTCAAAGGGATCTAATGTTGAGCCATCAAAAACTACAGTGCCCTTCATTTCCTCATGAAAGGAGCTGATGATGTTAAGGAGTCGAGGTTGACATCCAATCTTGGGAAGTATTTTTAAAAGGCCATCCCTGTTAACCAAATCAAAGGCCTTTGTGAGACCTATGAAGGCCACAAAGAGTGGCTGTTGTTCCCTACATTTCTCCTGCAACTGTCTGAGGGAGAATACCATGTCAGTGGTAGATCTATTAGTTGGAAATTCACACTGGATCTATTAGCTCAAAATCCACACTGACCATTATAGCCCATGGCTATGCTATTGAATTTGATTCTTTACCGGCTACAGGGTTGTTCAGGAACACCAATCCCTCATCCCCTCTACAGGAGGAGGTAGCCGCTCTCCTTCAGAAGGATGCAATTGTCTGGGTTTACGACCCTGTTTTGCACTTAGTTTCTTGTCACGTTATTTCCTTATACCAAAGAAAGATGGCAGACTTCAACCCATTTTGGACCTCTGCCCTTTGTATTCGTATATCACACCCCAAAAATTCAGCATGGTTTCCCTTGATGGCACCATCCAGATGTTGCAACAAGGAGACTGGTTTGCTGTCATTGACTTAAAGGATGCTTATTTTCACATCTCCATTTGGTCTGACCATCGGCGGTTTCTGAGATTTTTTATGAATTAAAGGCCGTCCTCTTTGGGTTATCCATGGCCCCTCGAGTATTCATGAAGTGTTTAGCCCTGGTGGCGGCTTACCTTCGTTTGCAC